CAAAAAAAAAAAAAAAAAAAATAGAAGCTGAAGATTCAGAAAGATCTTGATTCAAATGATTCTCATACTCACTATTAAAGTCATCTAGGATAAGTTACCTAAAGTCTCTGAGCCTCACTTTCTCCACTGTGCAGCTGGAACAGCCATCTTATCAAGTGACTGTCAGAAGTACATAAGGCTATGCACTAACTGGTATCAGAGAGATAATAAAGGAATGGGTAAGAGCAAGGGATTTCGAATCAGACTGCCTGCATCTGATCCCAGTTCTCCCACCTCCTAGTTGCATTTGTCTTGGTTTACTTTACCCATTAGTATTGGTTTCTCCTCTTCAATATATGATACTGCTACCTTCCTTAGATGGTTGATATTGCGTACCAACTTGATTGGATTGAAGGATACAAATTATTGTTCCTGGGTTTGTCTATAAGGGTGTTGCCAAAGGATATTGACATTTGAGTCAGTGAACTAGGAGAGGCAAACCCACCCTTGATCTGGGTGATCACCATCTCATCAGCTGCCAGCTCGGCTACGATAAAGCAGGCAGAAAGAATAGCATGGAAGGACTAGACTTGCTGAGCCTTCATCTTTCTCCTGTGCTGGATGCTTCCTGCTCTCAAACATCAGACTCCAAATTCTTCATCTTTTGGACTCTTGGACTTACACCAGTGACTTGCCGGGGGTTCTTGGGCCTTTGGCCATGGATTGAAGGCTGCACTGTCGGCTTCCTACTGTTGGGGTTTTGGGACTTGGACTGGCTTCCTGGCTCCTCGGCTTGCAGACAGCCTATTGTGGGACTTCACCTTATGATCATGTGAATCAATATTCCTAATACATTCCCCTTCATATATATCTACTTATCAGTTCTATCCCTCTAGAGAACCCTAATACACTTACTCACAGGGCTGTTATGAGGACACAGTCAGATAATGTGTGCAATAGCTAGTAACATGGCTAAAACGAATCATCTGTGGAAAGAGCTACCCCACCCTGACCCACACATGTATAGCCCTTGTAACTGAAAATAGGAGCTGGGAAGCCAAATACCAAAAAGCTAATTAAGGTGTCAAATGTGTGGTTTGCATCCCGAAAGAATTACATTAGTCTAGTGTAACTAGTGTATAAATACGATTCCAGAAATCCAGGGTTTCCCAAGCTAGATGCTACACTAAGAGAGGGGTATATCTAAAGCAGTCTAATTGATTTAAGTTTTCCTATCATATATATATTTTAATTTGAGATGGAGTCTCGCTCTATCGCCCGTGCAGTGGCGCAATCTCAGCTCACTGCAACCTCTGCTTTCCAGGTTCAAGCGATTCTCCTGCCTCAGCCTCTCGAGTAGCTGGGATTACAGGTGACTGCCACCACGCCTGGCTAATGTTTGTATTTTTAGGAGAGACAGAGTTTCACCATGTTAGCCAGGCTGGTGTTCTTTTTTTTCTTTTTGTTTTGGGAGCACTGGGGGAGAATGGAGTCTCACTCTGTTGCCCAGGCTGGAGTGCAGTGGTGTGATCTTGGCTCACTGTAACCTCTGCCTCCCAGGTTCAAGTGAGTCTCCTGTCTTAGCCTCCTGAGTAGCCGGGACTACTGGTGTGCACCACCACGCCTGGCTAGTTTTTGTATTTTTTGGAAGAGACAGGGTTTCACGATGCTGGCCAGGCTGGTCTCGAACTCCTGACCTCAAGTGATCTGCCCCCTCAGCCTCCCAAAGTGTTGGGATTATAGGCATGAGCCACCATGCCCAGCCTAAGACTTCAGATAGTATTCTAAGTATGCTGGGAAACCAGTGAAGGACAAAGAGTGAGGGTGGGACACAACAGGCATTATACTGTTTCTGTTTCTTTTTTTCCCCCTCCCTCCCTCATATTACGCTGTTTAAGAAGCATTCTGAGCTGTTCTATCAGTATAATATGTAGGAACCAGAGTACAAGAAGAGTCACCCTTATGGAAATGGAAAACCTGATGGATAGCATGGATAGAGAGAGAAAAAAAAAGTCTTTTGTAGATATGTTCAATTCAAAATGCTTTTTGGACTTCCAAGTGGAGATGCCAAAGCTAGCAGTTAGTCAAAGCTAGGTGTTCAGGGTAGATACCAAAACTGAAGATAAAAATTTAGTAATTACTGAAACGTAGATCTTAATTAGAGATGATATTTAAAGGAATGCAGTGGCACATAATCAAGTTGTACAAGACTTAAATTCTAGGTCACTTCAATAGTCAGAGATTGGAAAGAGTAAGATCCATGAAAGGAATCTGAAAGATGCAGGGTTTCAAAGAAGGGATATTGTTAGGAACCAAGGTTTTAAATAGAAAAAAGATACAAGTATCTAAAATCAAAGAATTAAAAACACTATACTCCTAACTGTGAATTCACAATAACATCATAAGAAACCTAGTAGCAATAAGCTGCCAGCACTCAGATTGTGATCTCTAAATACCATTGTTAAAAGGTGGTGGAGCACGGTGGCCCATGACTATAATCCCAGCACTCTGCAAGGCTGAGGCAGGTGGATCACTTGAGGCCACGAATTCGAGACCCACCTGGCCAATATGGTGAAACCCTGTTTCTACTAAAAATAAAAAAAATTAGTCAGGCGTGGTGGCGCACGCCTGTAATCCCAGCTACTCAGGAGGTTGAGGCGAGAGAATCGCTTGAACCTGGGAGGCGGAGTTCAAGAAAAAAAAGAAGGCACACTAGAAACAATTCTAAGGCAAAAATAAAAACAGGGAAGCAGCTGGAGTTTCATGGAATTAAGAGAGGCTTTTTCTTTTTAATCAATGGAGATACAGCGCTTCTTTTTCTGCTTCTAGGAATACTACAAAAAAAAAAAAAAGGAGGGAAACTGATTATATAAGAGAGTGGAGAGATGAAAGCAGGAACATCTTGAGTAGGTGACAAGAGCTGGGATCCAGCCCACCAGTGAGGGGCTGGTCTTGGCTAGAGGTAGGGGACCACTCATCTATTTTAATAGGCTCAAAGCACAAGTAGAGATAAAAGTAAATTGATAAATTTGCTGACAGAAAGATAACACAATTTTAATTGCTTCTCTATTCTCAGCAGAATATAACAGAAGGCCATAAGCAAGGTTTGTAAATAAGGGAGAGGAAAGTGGTTAAAGGTTTAAAGATATAAGCTGTGAAATTACTCATCTTGGCAAGTGGTACATGATTTTTTTATAAACATCTTGGAGGGTAGTACGAGGATTTACTAAGAAAACATAGTAGAAATATCAGGCAGCACTAAGGACTCATTTGAATTTTGTGATTATAATAAACTTGAAGTAAAACCTTTGCTAGGTGTGGTAGCATAAGCCTGTAGTCCCAGCTACTCAGGAGGCTGAGGCAAGAGGATCACTTGAGCCCAGGAGTTTAAGGCTGCAATGAGCTTTGATTATGCCGCTACACTCCAGCCTGGGCTTCAGAGAGTGGCTCAGTCTCTTCAACAGATGGATGGATGGATGAATAGATGGATAAATCATTTAAAAAAAGTAAAACCAATCATCATGTTTTATGTTATTTTTTAGCCATGTCCAGCTACTCTGGTACAGGAATGAACAAGGTCAAGATTTGGTTTTAACCAGGGTTGAGATTTTTGTTATTTAAGTATGATGCAGAGAGGGAAGGGGAAACAAGTTGAAGAATGCAATGGAGTGATTATAAAGATGGATTATAGAAAACAAGCAGTATAAGAAAAAGAATGCATATAAGGAAAATGCTTGGGCCCCATGGTAGGGTTTAAAGAATGGTTGGAAGAAAAAAACAGACAAAACATGGTTGAAAAGATAGGAGGTGGAGGCCAAGCACGGTGGCTCACGCCTGTAATCCCAGCAATTTTGGGAGGCCAGGCCAGGCGGATCACAAAGTCAGGAGATCGAGACCATCATGACCAACATGGTGAAACCCCGTCTCTACTAAAAATACAAAAATTAGCTGGGCGTGGTGGTGGATGCCTATAATCTCAGCTACTCAGGAGGCTGAGGCAGGAAAATTGCTTGAACCCAGGAGGCAGAGGTTGCAGTGAGCCGAGATC